AATATCAGGCTCATTTCGAAGATTGAACTTCAGATGAAGAGATGAGAATATCAGACTTGACTCAAGATGAACATTATACAGTGTGTCTCACTTATAATGGAAGAACCCCTGTATCTTTCGCGATTTTTGTTACGATTCTGAAATTTGCAAGAGCGGTAGATACTGAAAATACACACTATGACCAAGTGGAGTCGTCTCCAGTGATATACACTGCTCGCAAATAGCCATGAAACCACCCACAAAAATGATATGAGGAGGCAAGATAGGTTGAAAATCACTTCGGATTCAAAATCAGGACGTCTCATTCGCTTCCTCCTGCAAATTTCAGAACCTTATCTCAATAATTACGTGAGATACGGGGGTGCTTCCATGAGAAGTGAGAGAAAATTTGAATTTTCTGAACTGAAAATTTTCTGGGAAAAATATGTATAGTCAGTGAATTGGACGTCCTGATTTCGAATCCGAAGTGTTTTTCTACCTATCTTGGCTCCTAATAACATTTTTCGGAAATTTGGGTGGTTCCATGGCTGTTGGCGAGCAGTGTTATCACTGGAGATGACTCCACTTGGTCATGGTGTTTATTATCAGTATATTTTCCGCTCCTGTGGGTTTCAGAATCCTAACTCAACAATTACGAAACATACAGGGGTAATTCCATTAGAAGTGAGACACACTGTATAATGTTCATCTTGAGTCAATTCCGATCTTCATATCTCTCCATCGGAAGTTTCAGTTTCAAAATGAGATTTTGAAAACGGGGTGACAAGGAAAAAAGTTATGACTGCAAAACCAGAAAGTTAATTTTTTGAGTTCACTCTGTGAATAAAAGAGATCAGTCAACAATTTGAAAAATGTTCCTAGGTAATGGGATGATCTTCATGCCTCTGCTGTCCAAGTTGAAAAAAAAAGTTTTCGTTCATTTGGAATACTTATGAAAATTCTGAAATTTTTCACAGTTTCAGGTGACACCCTGTAGCGATTTTACATGACGAATATCATGTTTTAGAGAAGTACGAGATTATAGCTGAAGGACTAGGCTAGCGAACAGTGTAATCCAAACTCAAATTGTTCGAAGCAGAAAAAAAATCATATTTTAGCAGGGACAAAATTTTGGGGTGCGACAAAATTACTGTTGCCAGCGTCTGTTGCGTAATTTAGTTAGTTATACCGGGTTATGAAGTATTGTGACCTATTAACGCTACATTTTAAAAATATTTTAATGTTCTTGCCTTTATGTTATATTATACAGGGTGTCCCGTAAATACCACGTCAAACCTAGGGAGAATGTAGATCAAAGGAAAAGTCTCACCGTTTTCGAGATATTTTTTTTAATATCGAATTTTTGCCCCTTTCAATAGTTTTTTCTGTACAGTTGGTACAATTCAACACCTTTTTGGTCCATTTTTTCAGTAAATATTGCTAAAGAATGATTTTAACGTGTACAGTAACAACATTCTCCGAACATGGGGGCTGTGAGAAATATTTTTATTGAAAACTTTGGTAGTGGATATTTTCAAAGAATAGAAATCTTGAAAACGGTAAGACTTTTATAATGGCAATTTCGTCATATGCAGGTGGGATATTTTTTATCTACATTCTCCCTAGGTTTGACGTGGTCTTTACGGGACACCCTGTATACAGATAAGTGCTAAATCTGAATCATTCAAGTTCGGAATTTGATCCATGATCTTTTCTATTTTTCAACATGAAAAATAACGAGTTCACCGATTTGTTGCAAAGAACAAAGAACATTTTTATGGTTCCTAACAATAATGAATACTAATGTAATCCAGCTGAACCAGGAACTTCATCTCAACCGGACATGGACTCTAAATTGCATGGCCTTAGTGCCTCATCAGTATAATATACTAAGTACTTCAAAATATTCGGGCTATTCGCGGTGGACAAGGTCATTAGATGACGTTCTGATGACATTTAAAACTACGGGAATACATATCTAACTTTCAATATATGCCAGGGATTAGGATTAGGTTTTCCCGTTCCGTAGTTTTTAATGTCATCGCAACGTTATCTACAGTGTGGCCCATTTTCAATGGAAACACCCCCCTAAAATATGAAGTTGTGAACCGATTTTGATAATTTTTTTTTGAAATGTCAAGTACTAAAAGGTCTACCTTGGGACAAAATTTGGAATGTTCATTCCAACTTCCAGAGTATACTACGGATCTTTATTCTTAGTCGAAAATCAGGATTTTTAATTAGCGATTTTTTCATTGAAAAACTCACTACGCCACTGGATTCAGAGTGCCTTTGAACAGGTGTGATCAAAATTTCATGGAAAAATATTCACTAATAAAAAAGTTATGACACCTCAAAAATTCGAACTCACACAGCTAACAGTCACAAAAAACACCCCATATCAACAGATTTGGCCATGAGAATATTTTTTTTTATAATTTCAACTATAAAGTGCTACCAGATGAACAAAAAAACTGATAGCGTAAATTGTTTTAATGAAAATAACGGAATTAGTTTCAAGTTTTCAAGAAAATTAACTTAAATTATTAATTATTACTAATGAATATTTATGCATGAGATTTTGATCACACCTGTTTAGAGGCACTCTGAATCCAGTGGTGTAGTGATTTTTTCAATCAAAAAATCGCTAATAAAAAATTCCGATTTTCCACTTAGAAAAAATATCGTAGTATGCCCTGAAAATTGGAATAACCATTCCAAATTTCGTCCCAAGGTAGACCTTTTAGTACTTGACATTTCGACAAAAAATTATTAAAATCGGTTCACAACTTCAAATTATAGGGGGGTGTTTCCATTAAAAATGGGTCACACTGTATAATGACCTTGGCAACCGCCAATACCTACATCGTTAACTTGTTGCATAATTACAAAGAGTGCCAGTTTAACAGATGAAATTATTATGTTGAACTAACACGATTTGTAATTGTGCAGGAACTTCGAGATGTATGACCTGCTTGAAGTTTCTGAAGTTCGAAATGTATTCAATGCGATTATTTTTTGTTAGTAGTTCTGAACGAACGTCAACATTTTTCGATGCGCTTTGTTCGTATGTAACAATATGAATTAGTTACTATGGAAATAATTCTGAATTTCTGATTGGCGGAGTTACTCTATCTATATCGGCGTATATTCGAAATTATACAAGGTAGCTTGACTCAATTGAACGTTCTGATTGGTTAAAAATCATAGGAAGAAAATAATCTATGTTATGCGGGTATTCGGAAGACCCTTATTCGAGATAATTACAAATTATTGTGGAAATAATATATCGCATGCAACCGTCTCCGAAGTGAAAAATTTCTATATACAGTTCTCAACACACCAAATGGACCACTCATAATTTGACTCTATTTCGAAGACCTGTATTTTTTTAAAAAATTGACCGATCTTCATGCGGTTTTCGATATCAGATGTGATGTTTCATCGACTTCAAAGAGAGCTAGAACAATCTGAAAAAGTCCGCAAAACAAAACTCACACAGGGTGTAAAGTGGAACCATTACACTATGGTCTACATTTCCAATGCTGCCAGAACTCGAGAAATTTTTTTCTGATCAAAAGTCAGTCATATTATGATACACTGGGACCTCATCTCGGGACGTTTTCGTGATTTCTCCTTAATTGGCCATTGGAACAAAAATTCGATTTTTTTTCGAAAGTCTTGCATTTCTTGATTTTTTCCTCTAGAACTCCACTTGAGCTGACTATTGGGAAGAACTGTTCTCATGTTTTATGGAGGATAATGAAAGACGAAAAAAGCACTTTTTTGGATTATACAGGATGATAAGAAACTAGGACAAAATCTCATTTCAGTGAAAAAAATCAAAAATGGTGACTAAAACTATGGCCCATTCGATCCAGTATATTCAGAAACGGCCTTCTCGATATCCATTATTTATATTAGACTACTAACTCCAGATGTTTTCGAAAATTCGCCTCTAAGTGAAATACAGGATGAAATTTTTCAATTCAAACTTGTTTCCAAATATCGATGATTTTCAATATCTATTGCTCAAGTATGAGAAACAGAGAATTGTTGTTCAATATACTGAGTGTTTTACAACTACGATATTACATGAGAAGTCTATCACAAAAAAATTTAATAGAAGTGAAACGCGATGGAAAATAAAATTTGTAACACTTTATATCAACTAAAACTATTCGAAAAGGGTGATAAGAAAATAGGACAATACAGGGTGAAAATTTTCAATTCAAACTTGTTTCCTGATATCGATGATTCTCATCATTTTATCAACGGATTTCCAATATTAATTGCCCAAGTATGAGACAGAGCATTGTTGTTCAATATATTGAGTGTTCCACAACTCATCTGACAAATTACGAACTCTAGAAAACAATAATGTTAGAAGAATGTGGTGACCAGCATTATCTCCAGATCTGAATTTGATTGAACATGTGTGGAGCCGAATGAAACTTGACCTATCGAGAAGGCGAGGCACCCCAAAATAATGACAACCTTATCCAGAATGGGCGGCAATATCAATAGACTTCATCAACAACCTCATAAAATCTATGCCAAACCGATTTCATGAGGTTTTGTTGAATCGGGGAGGCCTACCAAGTACTGAAATTTAGGATATAGGACTTTCTAGTTGGATCTTCATAATGCTGAAGAATTCAATAATGTCATATTTCGCCAATAGAGCCCTTTTAGAATAGTTTTAGTGGATATAAAGTGTTACAAATTTTATTTTTCATCTCGTTTTACTTCTATAATTTTTTTTTGTGATAGACTTCTTATGTAATATCGTAGTTGTGGTTGAAATTTGTATATAACATAGAAGCTTATTCACTTCTATATATTATGATATATCAAGTCATGACAAAAAAATCATTAAAATCCTAGGAACCAAAAGGTCACCTAGTCATGCCTAGCAATACGCATATTTTAATTTTTTGAATTCAAACTGGTGTCACCATTTTGGATGATATATATTTTTTTAAGGTACCTGATAGGGCTATAATGAATAATAACCCATTGAAGATACATTGTTTATGTTTTATTGCACTTTTACAGACTCAACAATTTGATTTGGGTGTTTTTCTCCATGGTAGATGCATTTTCTCGAATACTATATGTGTCCTGAAACAAAACAAACTAGATTTATATACATCCTCACCTTGTCGACATTTTGTGATCACAGTTTGAGATGATTTTGTTCAACTCATAAAAAACACCACCAAGTCAACGTCATTCCTTGGCGACGACTGAGGTTAGCTCATGACTGACCAGAATATCAAAATACAGTCTGTCCAAGATAAGGTTGAACAGCATGGGGATCTCGAAAACGGTAAGAGATACGAAGTCGGTTAAATGGGGAAAAAGTTGCGCATTCAAGAGCTTTCGAAAATTTTAAAAATTATTTTTAGTTTTTGAGTTATATCGAAAAAAGTGAATTTTTGGAATATCTATTTTATTTTATTTTTCTCCGTTATTATTAGAGATACAGCAAAACTGAGAATACTTTTTTGTATCAACTTTTGATGACGTTCAACGTGGTGATACCGATTTTTTCATGCGATGTTTCGTATTCGTGGAACCATCATCAACTTTTGTTTTTTAAATACGGTCCTGATAATTTTTTCACAGATTCTGAAAGGTTTTTTTATTCTTAATTCAACCATGTATTATACAAAGTGGTTTATGTGTGTTTCGACCTATTTTCAGCCTTCATCAATGTTTTTTCGAAATTCCAAAGAAAAAGGCCATCAGTTCCACTTATTTTGAAGGAAAATTAGTCAACACACTAATACCTCATCAACTGGTTTCAATCAACAACCCATTTCATTTTGCGGAAACATAAATTCCGTCCATAAAAATTCAGAATATGTCAAGCGCTAAAACCAGGCGATGACGAAAGGCGCAGGACATTCTGTGAGTGGTATACCAGGAAATGTTAGAATTTTGCAGATTTCCCTCTAACAATCATCTGGACTGATGAAAGCATGGTCACTAATCATGGTAGCTTCGATATAAAAAATACACATTATTGTTCACGAGAAAATGAACATTTATACATTACAGCGAGACACCAACACCGTTTCGGCTTTAATATTATATTTGACACAGCTGGATTTTTTCTTAGAGGATATATCGAACCTTGTACACGCAAATAACTTTGATGATGAAGAAGAACTAAGGGACAGTGTCTTCGAAGCATTCAATAGAATAACCCCCGAAAAGCTTAGCAATGTCTTAGAAGCAATTGTGAGAAAATAATGGTTATCATTTTGAACATTTGTTATGAATGTCTCTGTAGGTATTGTCAAAGTTGAGTTGTTGAAGTAATTCGTGTAAGAATTCATCAACAATTTTAAACGCTGCATTGATCGAATGATGTAGTGAAATACTATTTATTCACTTTTCAGTATTGAATAACTAATCCATCAAGTTTGACACTAAATGATCAGAAATAAGTGGAACTGATGGCTTTTTTCCTTTGGAAGTTCGAAAAAACATTGATGATGGATAGAAATAGGTCGAAACACATTCGAATCACCTTGTATAGTACATGGTTGAATTCTGAATAAAAAAACCTTTCAGAATCTGTGAAAATATTATCAGGACCGTATTTAAAAAACAAAAGTTGATGATGGTTCCACGAATACGAAACGTTGCATGAAAAAATCGGTATCACCACGTTAAACGTCATCAAAAGTTGCTATAAAAAAGTATTTTCAGTTTTTCTGTATCTCTAATAATAACGGAGAAAAAGAATAAAATAGAAATTCCAAAAATTCACTTTTTTCGATATAACTCAAAAACTAAAAATAATTTTCGAAATTTTCGAAGGCTCTTGATATGAGCCTCCGAATGCGCAACTTTTTCCCAATTTAAGCGACTTCGTATCTCCAACCGTTTCCGAGATCCCCATGCTGTTTGTTCAACCTTATCTTGGACAGACTGTATGACCTTGGTAAGCGCAACAAACGTAATAGTATATTACACACCGAGGCGGGAAGTGATTCATTCCTGTCGTGAGATTAGTTAGTTATAATTTTGAGACAGGAATGAAACTTCCTACCGAAGTTTGTATACTATTTTATTTACAACCATCATATTTCGATCAAAATTAATAAATCTCAGTTTCGTCCTGAACATAGGGCGGGAAGTAGTGAGGGGCGGAAAGTGAGGGCGGGAAGTAGAGGTGTGTAATGTGACACTTCCCAACCTTCAATGACGTTAGTAATGACAACATTACATATATGGTTGTAAATAAATACCGTTTATCTACAACTATTGAGTCATTCATACATTGCTTACTCGATTTTCGACACTTAATGACATTATTGTGATGAATCGAGTAATAAGAATAATATGACAGTAGGGTGGCGTAATAATCTGACATCCCATCTTCTTGTCAAATTCAACTAGGTAGGTATTCTTTCTACTAGTTTGCAAATTCAAAAGACTCACCTTACATGGTTCTCATAGTTTTAATCACCTTATTAATTCTAAAAATACAGGGAAAAATGAGAATTCAATGTTTTCCATCCTCAACAGTGACTAACATCATGAGTAACCATAACCATAAAATAGGACTTGACACGACTTGACACTTGCACATGGTACAGACCAATCAGAACCATGGTATTTAATTGTTGATAACTAGCTTCTAGAGACAGGGTGCTACAATTAATCATCGCGGTGGGGGAACGCTACAGCGGAAGCAAGTTAATGAATAATCTGCAATAGTATGATTCATTTTACAACCGAAAAGTGAAATGGCATATAATACCTGCTAAGATTGACTGATATGTGATTGCACGACTTTTTTCCTGTTAATAAAATTCATATCCAACATTGTTTTTCATATTTTCACAAGCAAAATTATTGAAATAAGTTATAAGCATTTCGTTGAATGAAATTTTTGTCAATAAGTTTTCGATGTAAGTATTTCAAATCAGATTTAGTATGATTTTGCAATATTTCTGAACTCTCAGAGTTGCTTGATATTTGAATAGTTGTAGATAAAGTATAGTATTCTACTTGCCCATAATGACTATTACCCACTCAGATGATTACAGCACTCGCCTTCGTGGGTAATAGCCATCATTATGCGCTCGTTGAATAATATACTATTACCTACTACCAATATATGTAATGTGAAACATTACGACACTGATTTTAGTATCGTTATGAGATACTTTACCGCACTAGTGCACTAGGTACATGTTCATCAGATGAGTGAAGGTCGACCTTACTTGGGATCTTAGACTATTAGATAAGAAAGAAAGGATCATCATAAATATAACCCCTTTTTCCAAAATGTACTTACTAGAAACCACTCAACTACTCATTACCTACTTGAATTCTTGAATGCTTTTTTTCAAATAGTTTTGTTTTCAATTAACCTAAAAACGGTCACAGGGGTCACAGAACAAAATGAAAATGTGTCATTCATCTTACAAGCAGCCAATATGATAACAGAAATAATCTCAAAATAACTTTATATCAAAGTTTTTATAATTCCCAGCGATTCGGACGCCGAGGACTTCCTGGATGATACAAAAATCGATAAGGACAAAAATGGTATTAATATTTTATGGAAATAATCTGTTTTCAGTCGCAGACGTTTTTGTCTATTTTCAAGGTTGGCAATGAATTGCTGAACTCGTCTATTGGGGCTTGTGTTATTTTTTGTAAGACACCTTTGTAGGTGGAATGTTTATAATTCCTCTGGTGTGCCCACTCTTCAATTGTTTCGTCAGACTAGCTCTCGATATGAACAATTGAATGCGAGTTTGGAACGTGGGGTTCTCATATTGAACGATGAACGATGAAAAATTCTTGGAAAATTCCTTTAAAAATTTCAAAATGCGTTTCGAATCTTATTATGAAGTTGAACTAGACTTTCAAGGATGTGTTTTCCTCATTTCGGGACCTGAAGATTCCTGTTGATGATGCACGAAATCAATAACAGCTGATAAAAAGCATCTAGAGGCAGGACGCAAAAGAGACACGAGTGTCATGTTTTCGGCATTATCAAGATTTTGTTCGAATTTCAAATATATTATAAATCAAGAGCATGAGTAGTTTATTGAGCAAGTATTGATTTAAAATTATTAGTTGAGTGAGTGTATTGTGCTTTCGTCATGGACTGACTGCTGCAATGTGTGAGGATTATTTGAAAATTCGAACATTCGTTTCATTATATGTATCAAAAAATTATAATCACGAGATTTTATTCAGTCAGGACTTTGTGCCGTTCATGAATTCACCATTGAAAGTCGAAAATATGACGCACCGTTTCCATTTAAACAAAAAATTGTGAAAATGACAATGTGAACTCGAATGAATATGTCATGATGCCTGTAAGCGATTTTACTAAATATACTGCACGCTAGCACAAACCACGCCCACCATAATACGTCATATCTCCAAACATTACCGATATACTCGGAGTCAGCACATCGCACTAAATATACTGTGCTCCAACACAAGAATACACTTTTTATGATTTTGACACGAATTCGACTCAAGCTCTATCGTTGTCAATCTCTTGTACGCAGTAAATTCATATACCCAAATGGTCTACTGGTTAGCGCTGTCGACTTTCAGGCTGAAGGTCCATGGTTCGAATCGCTGTGAACTTGAACTTTTTTTTTCACCAATGTTTTTTTTACTTCATTCTGGTTTTCCTTTTTCATAAAATATTTGAAGTCAAATAGGTTAGTGCGTTTAGGATAAACAGTCTCATTTTATTCAATTTTGTTGAAGAACTCAACTTTTGAAATATATTATTAATCAATGTGTTTCTACACTCCATTCGGTTTTCCTTCCTCAAAAATATTGCAATCAGGGATAGGTTAGTTCGTTAAGGATAAATAGTCTCTGAGTTTTGCCTAAGTACTTCGAAGATGAGATATTACGGTGGGAGTGGTTTGTGCTAGCGTACAGTATATTTAGTAATATCGCTGCCTGTAAATTCAGTTTGAAACTTCGGAAATTTAGCAAGATTCTCCCACGCCTCGCTAGTTTTACAAAGTAGGCAATATCCAGAGATTTCGAAACTCCTTTCAATAGAAAGTGATGAGACCATTTGACTTTCTATACATCTATTCTGTAGGTATACCTTAGAATCCTTAGATTATATCCCCACTTCATTATGACGCTTTCAATCCTCGCAATCGATGCAGTTTTGAAAGAGCCTACTATTGGTGTCCAAGGCGTTCGATAATTTCTTATGCAATTGCCGGGACAACGAGGTTGCCCTCTCGGCAGACAGACAGAAGCAAACCCTCCTCCTGGAACTGTCAGTGACGTCAGACCGACACGGGGAACCGCTTCTGGATCTCGGCTGTTTCCTTATATAATTTTGTTCGCAGTAAGCGCACAATCTGGGTTTCGTTCTGTGAGCAAGAAGAGAGTTGCAGGATGATTTCTGGAAAATTCGGAAATTGGGTAAGGAGAAATGTAAAAACTTCACAAACGATAAGATTTTCACAAAATTCTCAAACACATGACATGTTTCGCTAACACAGTAGTTTCGTCAGGTGATATACTGGTACGATGAACTAAACTAACCTTGGCTTGCTTATATATCCTACTTTCCCAACCTGAAGGATTAGTTACCTGTTGACAGGCTCGATAAACCTCCATTTTTGGAAATTAGGCACAATATATACATTAAAAACTTGAAAGGGTTGATTGCAAATATAGTATATTATGTAACAAGTGTTATAAACGTCCTTTTAGTAACGAGTAGTTTAAGGACGAGCGGAGCGAGTGTTTAATAAACGAGTGTCTAGAAGAGTTTATAAACGCGTTACATACTATGATTTTTCTACGAACTCCGAAAATTACATTAACATAACTGCTATTCCTGCTAACCTACAAAATAATTCGAAAGGAATGGGAATTGAGAACATAATACATGCAACTGCATGCAACCAGCGAGACACGTATAAGTGATATTGGTTGTAGATGTGTCCATCAGTCCATTGCTTACTAACCTTTGTTTCACGTTTATTGTCATGGTTAGCGCAGAATAAATAAATTGTTCTCAAAGATGGATGCTGCATTTTTACACTTCTTGGAGATATGCAAGTACCAGAACATTCTCTTCGATTTCACTTTCGTCTACATTTCGCATATATTTTCAATGAAGAATTCTGATACAAACGAATATTGTTTGAATAATTCTGATACAAAATATGAAAATAACAGTTGACAGTTAATACAATTGACAGGCCAGACATGTCTCGAATTCCTGAAGCTGTGTTTAATGAACTACGTTGCCATGGTAATGTGTTTAAGGAATCGTGTTGCCATGGTAACGTGTTTAATATTTTGAATAAATCACAGACCGACAATCCGTGATTAATCGATCATTTAGCGTGGTACATATCCGTACGATAAATGCCATTTTAGTTATGTGAGTAGAAAAAATATATTATTACCTACTAAGAAATCGAATTCAACAGTGGTGAACTATTGAGGTCTAATTGATCGTTAAGTAAAATGTCAGAATTTTTGAGTTTGTTGATTTCTAATTATTCAAAATGATTGAGTTTCATTCCTTCATTTCCTACGTGTAGAATTTCGAAACTATCTAATATATGGTGCGCGTATGCTGAATTTGTTTCCCTTTTCAAAAAATTCATCTTATGTTCATGAATGCGCTGATTAAACGTGCGACCTGTCTGACCGATATATACCTTACCTTAGGACATGAACCACAGTTGAGTTTGTATACCCCTGATTTTTCGAATTAAAAAGTTTTACTCTACCTGACAACAAAAAACTCATCTCATTTGATGTACAAAACTTTTTTCCAAGTATACCTCCTGAAGATGCTATAATTTTTGTTGAGGAGTTATTAGATAAAAACCATGTTAATCCGATTACCAAACAAGAGATCTTAGACCTTCTGTCGATATATCTCAAACAAAATTACTTTCAATTTGACAACAGAATATATTCCGCGACAAAAGGGTTGATTATGGGGAATCCACTGAGCCCTTTACTTGCTGAAATTTTTATGGATAACTTGAACATAAACATTCATTAATATAATAATGTTTCTATTGGTATAGATACGTAGATGACGTTATGTATGCTTCAAGGGAACCAATACACAATTATACACTTTTCACCATTATATAAATACTATTCATCCAAACATAAAATTCACAATAGAAATAGAAACCGAAAATTCCTGGTATAAGATCATTCATGAAGTATTATCGACTGTTGCATAATTGAAATTACAAATAGTGAACAAAACTTACATATCATCAAGATATCTCAAAATATCAGTCATATTATAGTGAACAAGAAAGGAGAAAAACTTAGAATTGAAAATAAGTAAAATTAATGATAAATATGATTTTTCAATTTTCCATAAACCTTTCCACACTGATATCACTATTCATAATAATTCAACACACCCTTATCAACATGAAATTGCAGCATATAATATAGTATGATACACAGGCTAGGGAATGTCCCTCTATCGGAAGTAAATTTCAATAAAGAACTCAATGTCATAAAACAGATTGCAGTCAACAACGGATACAACGTTAATTTGATAGACAGTATTTTTTCTAAAAAACTTCATCATAAAGCTATTCAAGAAGTTTATCCTACCATCAAGAATAATAATCAAAATTATAGAACTTTAACCTACCTCGGATCATCTACTAAGAAGTTAGCGTTGGGACGGTTTATCAAGAATAATAAAGACAAAACTTTTAAATTCGAACAATCAGGGGTATACAAACTCAAATGTGGATCTTGTCCTAAGGTATATATCGGTCAGACAGGTCGTACGTTTAATCAGCGCATTCATGAACATAAGATGAATTTTATGAAAAAGAGAACAAATTCAACATACGCCTACCATATATTAGAAGAAGATCATAGTTTTGATGATAATTTCGAAATTCTACACGTAGAGAATAAAGGAATGAAACTCAATCATTTTGAATCATTAGGCTAATTTTCAAAAATTGAGGTTTATCGAACCTGTCCACAGGTAACTAATTCTTCAGGTTTGGGAAAGTAGGATATATAAGCAAGCCAAGATTAGTTTAGTTCATCGTACCAGTACATCACCCGACGAAGCTACTTATGTGTTAACGAAACATGCCGTGTGTTTGACAATTTTGCGAAAATCTTATCGTTTGTGAAGTTTTTACATTTGCCATGGATTTCCATCAAGTAACGGCCGAGTCATTTCAAAATTTGAGTAAGGAGGTTTCATTTTCAACAGGGACGGGCTTACCATTTTGGAACTTTTGGAGGGGAAATATCCTTCGTATAGAGAACAAAGGGAGCACTTATTCGAATGGATTAGACCTTTTGTACTGATGTTTCCTACAAAATAAAATACATTCTTGTCAAGTTTGAGCGTTATTCTTAGCTCGGTTGGAAAATTATTTCAGGGTTTGCTTCTGAATATGCAAAATTTAATTCGGTAAAAGTGCACTTATCATGCGATGGTTCTTTTTGTACTTAGGTATTTTTGTCTGAAAAACACGAATTTGATAATGAAAATGTGAACAAACCATTATTTATCGAGATATTTCAAGAAAAAGTTCGAAATTTCGCCTTCTTTTTCCCCCTGTGTTGGACGCATTTACAGCTACTTGCTCTTCTTATTTTGTCATTGGACACTTCATATACTCATGATGTACTTCAATGACACATTTTTATATAAAAATTTCAACAGGAAATATGATTTTTATGTCGAGTATTTTATATTTAGTGAACAATCATACCAGATGACAGCCATTCAATCAATAGTCAATCCAAATACGAGATGTCTAATGTCAACAGATTGCTCTTGATGACATTATACACGCCATTATTTCGAATGATATTCTTCCTTCTTTTCACTAAATATGGAAACGTCGCAAGAAAATGATAGATTCAAGATCAATTATGAAAACATCCTGTAACTCATTTGTGGACAAAAATCACTCATTCATATGCCAACATCAGTATGACACTGAAAACTGTCAAACTATAAGCAGCAACTTCCAAAAAGAAATATTTTGCATTTTTATGTTGAGAACGGGGGCAGATTCGGTCCCGAAACGTCCGAAGATAAGTAAAACTTCGATATTTTTTCAATATATCTGTATTTCTTTCCTCCACACATTTTTCAAACAAATTGTCACTGACAAGCTACTGGATTTTTCTTTTAGGCTCTCTGATAGAAAAATTTGTTTAACGTGGTGACATTTTGGGGCAAATCATCTGATTTGTCCCACTACAAATATATTGAAATAATACGCATATTTTTATTTTATAGAAACGAGGATAGAAAATCCCAAAAAATCAAGTAAAATCAAGAATAACAACATGAAAAATACGATGATAGATTCAGATTCCTTGTAAACAAGTGTTCAGAAAAATCTAGGTCATTCAGTTTTCGCTTGAAAAAATGAAAATGACAAATTTTCGTTTTCTTCCAATGATTCAAAAACTAAAAACGACACATCAAATTTCCTTGCAGATTATTGTTCAGCATGAAAATACTTTGCCCTAATTCATCCGACCCCGTATCTCTTATAATAACCGAGATCCCCATGGTGGAGCTCGAAAAACGGGCCCCCTGTATTATAGAATTTATCGAGGAATTTATGTTTTTGTAAATCGGCATCGAAGGGTTCCAAATTAGAAGGGTGTTGTGGGTTGAAATCGCATACACAGTATATGACCTGCTTCAAAATCATTTGTGGATATGACTAGTTTTTGAGTGACTGAACTGAAATATGAAATAAATTCATCAAGGTACTATAGTGGTTACCAGCTACAACCTTTAGGAGCACGTAAACATACAACACGGCTCCATCTACTGCGCATGTCTTCCGTCTTCGTCCGTGAATTGACAATGAGGTTATGAATGTTTTCTATAGTTCGCGTGCACGATGACCGACCCTGGAGTTAAATATTGAAACACAACCTCACTTTTCTGTAAAACATTGAAACATAACCTCACTTTTTTAAACTTGTTTACAGAGGAATCAAAGGATTGAAATAGTTTTTCACAGTATGTTGGCATAGGAATCGAGTTTTTTGCGCTATTCATTAATTCAGCATGCCTTCGCATTGTGCTGTTATGCACAAAAAATGCAGTGAGAGACGAAGGAATATGATTTTTCAGGTAAATGGTGATCTCACATAGTTTTCATTATGAAATGTTGTCATTCCCTATTAAAATTTCTTCTGCCAATTCTGCAATAGAAGCTAATACTGCTAATGAATTAAAATGTCTACAACACACACGATCATATTTCGTCAGCATGTCAGACCAGTCCTTCCGTTTGATTGCATGAATCCAATCTTCTTGTATTATTTGAAAAATTTCACGAGTATTTCTATTAGCTCCTATTGCAGAAGGAATTCCGATGAGAAATCAGAGAAATTACCAAATTTCAAGATGAAAACTATATATGTAGGTACTTACTCTTAAATCATAATGTATCAACCGGATTCCTTCGTCTCTCGCTGGCCATAATAATTGTGAAAACCTATTTCAATCATTTGTAAACAAATAAGAAAAGTCCAGGGTCGGATCTGACAGTTCTTGCACGCAACCCATTTCTTAAAGAAGAATTGAACTTCGCAAGTACACCTCTATGAGTAGGTCATCCGGAAACGTTTTTCTTCTTCAACCAGCTTGACATGTTATAGATTTTTTGATGATATTCTGTGAGGAAGGAGCATACGCCTCTATGAGTAGGTCATCCGGGATCCGGGAACGTAGTCATTGTTTTTTTTTCAACCGGCTTGAGGAGACATGCGCAGTCTAGGAAGCCATGTTGTATGTTTATGTGCTCCTCAACCTTTGAGGGTTGGAGGTTAAATGCCTTCTATAATTACGATGACTAAAATCTCCTATACTATATTCCAAAAAGAAGAAAGTAGGTGGCGCTGCCTGTGAAAGAATGTTCACACTGGCGAAATGAAAATAGTTGTGTTTAAAAGTTTTGTTATGCTTTTCGATGGTTTGTCAAAATAACCAACAACGACACTTACCCAAATCTTCATTACTTCTTGATAAATTATCGTCTCCTGTTTCTGACCATGCGTTTTTTGGGTATTTAGTCCTAATAATGGAAAAATATTTAGTGATCAACATGCTTTACTTAACTAGCAACAAACGCAGTTTTCTGAAGAATCAGATATCACATGAATCTAGTTCTCATAATTGTTCAGTCTCTATGGCTTTCTACTAAATTTATAGGCTATAATAAAGAATCATGAATATTTGTTTCACTTTTTTATAGGTATCTGTTGCTAGTTAATCATATACCTAGCCAATTTCCAGATGAGTTTCTCGGCTACGCCTCGTTAAAAAAATCAGATCTCAATCAATCAATCAATACTGAGCTTTATTGTCCAAGAATATCATTTCTTATTGACAAAGCATGGTTTGATATTATTCTAGTGGATTTCCACTGTGTCCAGTAGGAAGTAATATAATAATATGTATACATATATAAAAACAAATGAAGTCAACATTGTAAAAACATACGAAAAAATGTAATTAGGTACATTATGTAAATTTGAACACAACCATCGAATAAAAGTAGTTAAATCATAATAATCTTGCTGAAATAGCTATATATGATACATATACAGCGTGTCTCACCTTAAACGGCCCCCCTCTATATCTCAGTTATTAGTCATGCGATTCCAACCAAATCTGGCGTGCTATAAATAACCATCAATATGATCAGTTTTACAGAGATGCACATTATTTTGGACAGTGCTGTGCGTTTTTATTGAACTAAAAAGGGGTCGATTTCTCATAAAATCATATTAGGCATTTTTTTTACAGGAAATATAACCTCATATTATTGTTCATCATGCTTTAGAACCTCCTAATGCAAAAAATCACCTAATTCCGAATTAACAGGATTGGCTCCCTTTTTTACATTTTCAGTATCGAATAAATGGTGACTTTTGGAACGTTTAATGGCTCCGGTGGTGGAAAATCATGATTTGGAAGAAAAAACGAGTAATACTTTTTTATGTTGAACTCACCGTTTCCGAGTAAATAATGATTACGTTCGCAAAAATACTGTTTAGATGTGCCTGTTTTTCTGAAACCCTTTATAGGAATCTTATGAAAATCCACATATGTGGGTTTGAAACCATGAAGAACAATAATATGAGGTCAGTTTTCCTATGAAAAAATGCATAATATGATTTAATACAAAACTGACCCTTATTCATTTCAATAAAAATGCACGGCACTGTCTAAAATGATGTTTGTCTTTGAAGAACTGGTCATATTGATGATTATTCATACCGATACAAATTTGGTAGAGATCGCACGACTGATAGCTGAGATATAGAGGGAGGCCGTTTGAAATAAAACACGCTGTATATCAGAATGGAACTTATGACAGAGTTGCAACCTAGAATCTCTCATCGTAATATTCCTGTAGGCGATATATGCTCATGGTAAAAAAAATCCGCAACACTTTTTCTGAATTTTTTCAAATTCTTGATTGCTTTAAAATGCTGTGGCAGATGATTGTAAATTTTTTTGCTTTCGTATCACAGAATTTTTGGTGAGCGTTGTCTTTGGTATTGGTAGTTTAATATCATTTTCATTCCTAGTACATACATTTAAGTCCAGAGAGATTCCACTAATTAGAGGCTGATTTTTGTGAATGAAACAAACAGTTTCCAAGATGAATAGGCACGTGTCAAAATTTTACAATGAATGAAAAGGGGTATACAATGGTCACTAGATCTAGCTTTACAAAGGTATCTCACTGCTCTTTTCTGTAGAACACATACCGTGGATAGTGACTGTTGACTACAAAAGCCCCAGGTAGCTATACCATATCTAATATGAGATTCTACGAGGGAAAAATATGTATTTCTAGCAATATCAGAACCAAGCTCATTTGACACAATTCTAACAGCATAGCAACCTGACGCTAGCTTTTTTCTCAGTGACAAAATATGTTCATCAAATCTCGATCACCAAAGTAGCATTCCGCGCAATAGATACAAAAATAACTATAATTCGATAGAATATAATTTTAATTCGGCAAGCAGATGAGTGGAGGTCGATCTTACTTGGGATCTTAGACTATGAGTTCAATGTCTGAATGATAAGACCTCTCAGCAGCTTCCGCACATACTTAGTTGTCGTCTTTGTTGAAATCAACTACTTATAAGATGGACACTTACATGCAATAACAAGAAGGTTCAGAAGTAATTCGGTCCCCATGATCAGTATCATTTCTCAAAACGATGTTCGGATTACTTCTCAGAATCAAATCGTCTGAAACCTTCGAATATTTGAACGGAGGCTTCGAATTGGTTTTTCTGAGCGGCACGTTCTTTTGCGCTCTAAAACAAGGACAATTCTGACAATTCTGTTTGCTGAAATTTGCCTAATCTTACCTTACCTACTGAATGCGATCGAGTGGCAGACTTTTCTCGAACACCCTTTCTGCGAGGGTTGTTTATATAGGGTGCTTTTCGGCTTCACAAGGGTGTTGTTCGGATTAATAGGGTCTGCATCGTACAAGGTTTCTTCTATTGTTGTTTTCGTACTGATTTGGAGTTTTGGCGAGATAGTACCCTAAGAAATTTTAGGAAGATTATTTTGACGATATCATGGATCACAACTTTTTATGAATATGTATTTTCCTACAATTTAAAGACAAATAATTGACAAAAATTCACCTGCAAGCGAATTCAATGGGCGAGTGGGAGTGGACTGATATTGAATAATTGGCATTCAATTACTCCACTGTCTCGTTAGGAAACTAAATTAATTTTTGGAACACTATGCGTATTGGATGGTAATAGTTATACAGGGTCGCTGATATGTATGGAAACAGGTGAATATCTCGGTAACCTGTTGTTAGATTTTTTCGAATTTATCTACAATGTGATTTCAAAACGTGGCGGATTTGAAAATGTTATAGTCAATGTTGTCAATTTTGGATTTTTTTGTAACTAAGGGTGATCAGAATTCTGAATCTTGAACAACCATGTATTTGTTTCAATTAAATGTCAGCAGATAGTGAATCAAAAGTTATATAGGAACATTGGAGCGGTTTTGATCGACAATGGATAGTTTCGACACAAAAAAATTCCTAAAGTTGAAAAATCTAGATTTTGAACACCCTATACCTATGTAATCATTCCCGATATACCCCAAGTGTGATAAATCGATGTAATCAGCTCTTCAAGGAGGATCTGAAATTCCAATAAAGTACAGGTTGTTCTATTCAAAATAACCAAGAGATCTACTAGATATTGACTCTCTCTTCAAAATGAAAGTATGCATTTTCATTCATTTCACTAAAAATAAGAAAAAGCACTCGAATCTTACTTTCAATATCAATTCTGATACCCATGAGCATCACACCAGACAAAGTGAAAATTTGAAAACTGTTAAAATAAAAACCCAATTCGGGAAAAAATCATTGTATTTTTATGGAATAAATATTTTTATCTACTCCTATTAAATTATATATCAATGATTCAACTGCCTTTGTACAATTAATAGTATCTATAAACAAACAGCGTGAGTTATAATAACTCTCGCTACTATAACTCACTATAATACTTACATCGAGAAAGGCTCTTGGAATTATTTACGAACCGAGAATCAAGATGGCTCAGTACTTTTGTACAAGCCAGTTGGCCGAAAAGGAACAGTCCATTATTGTTATTGAGGAGAGTGATGTCAATTGAATAATTTTGACGTTTTCAAACTAGGCTGATACAATTATTGTGATTTTTTTGATGAATTCAGATAGTGAAGATGGATTATCATTTGAATTTCCATATGGAAAATATCACTCACAAAGAATGGCATTGAAAAATTTTGAGCAATGGGGAAAGACATTGCCACATTTCTGAAATTACCAGACTGTAATTTATATACAGGGCATTGTTTTCGCCGCTCGTCGGCAACTTTATTAATTGATGCCATACGGCACTGAAACGCCTTGGCGGTTGGCAATCAACTACTGTGGCTGAGGGGTACGTTGATGATTCCGAAAAGAATAAGACAGATACTGCAAATAAAATATACAGTTCTATTACAGCTCAATATCAGTTAGTACATCAACAACATATATGCAACAAACACAAAAAGAAACAATAAACTTCCATAATTCAGTTCCAACATATTCAGTTTACTGTTAACTTCACAGTTAATTTTTTCAATAAACAATATGCGAGTGATTGAATCTAAAATTTGTATTAAGTATATCAAGATTTGTCAATAAAGTTCTTTCTCTGTACTTGTAACTTAGGATTTATTGTAATAGTCGTAGATAAAGTATAGTATTCAACTTGCGGTAATGGTCATAACTCACTTGATGAATTACAGCACTCGCCTGTGGCTCGTGCTGCAAACTTCATCTGCGTGAGTTATGACCTACATTAACGCTCGTTTAATAATATACTAATAATAGTCTACCCAACAGAATAAAATCTATTAGATTCGTCACAAAATTTAAGTATGAACTGAAGAAATATATTTTATCAATTTAACTCTCCCCTTGTATCAATTAATTCTGATTGAACTGTTTATCTTTCATTGTATTGCATATTTGATTTTATTTTTATTTCTTTGTTGTTTCCCTCTATAAACATTGTATGTTTCTTGGGATCAATAAATGTTATTATTATTATTATTATAATAAAAAATCCGGAATAACTGAAAAAGTGGCAACATTGGCTATAACATTTTCAAATCTACCACGTTTCAAAATCATACAGTACACAAATTCAAGAAAATCCAACAACAGGTTACCGATATTTTCACCTGTTTCCATACATATCAGCGACCCTGTATATACAGCAAGGTAGTAAAGAATATCAGTATTACCCAGGGACCAAGATTATATTCCGAGGCTTCAGACGAGGGGTATAAGGTCTCGTGGTGATAATATTCATTACTATCAAGGTGTATATTACATTTTTATCACCACTAGCAATACATTTCGATCATTTGAGTTCTATGGAACGGAAATATGGACCTATTGTCACTATGAAGGCATTTCTTTTCATTTCTAATCAAAATCTAGTAGTCATGATCATGACAGCATATGACAAGTCGTTATTGATGAATACCTACTAGATTCGGGTGTCATTCCTGTGAATGTCGCATGGGAACAGTTGATTTGGGTTAACAGAGGTGGCTATGTCTTTATTGACTAGTGGTTCAATGGAGAAATCTACCTTGGTGTTAAAAACACACTTTACGCCTCCAACAGGAGAGAATAATGGTAGGTTTCATAGCAAGTTGTGGAAAATTAGTAATTTTTTTGTGAAAATATTGTAGAAAAGATTTGATTAAAATTTCGTCATAAAACCGATTTTCAAATTTCGTAATCATAAAACCAATCACATAGTGATAAAACAATTTAACATCAATAAAAATTGCTATTATATGATTTCCTGTATGAAGTCCATTTTGAATTGCTTGTATTTTTTGTAACAATACCACTTGTGTGCCACTATTTTCTTGAGAACCAAATTGATTTATGTTGAGCTATATTCTTTATTTATGAGATCTACAATGCGTATTTTAAGTTTGTCAACATTTTTGGAAATAATGCTAAATAAGGCAATGGATCTAAAATTTTCTGGATCTTTAGAAATACAGGGTGGTTCATCAAGAATGGAAAATGTCTGAACTACAGATAGTAAACACAAAAATAATGAGATTTAGCCCAATATGCCTGATAAGAATGTTGCTGGTTTAGGAGATACAGAGTGTTCTAGGGGGGAATTTTATTGCAAAATAACTTTGTTAGTTTCAACAGCATTAACAAGAAATCTTGTATTTCTAGGTTTTCTGACATGAGGAATATGAATTTGCAACTTATTTTGTGAGTGCTCACAGAGGGCTCTAGTGACACTCTGTTACTTCGATTATTCACATCATATCTTCTATGTCAATTCATTGATGATCAGAATAAGTGGAAAATCTGAAAGCTCGTTCAATTTCACATGAAAAATGTACTTTTTATCAAACTGTCTAACTTCAACGGTTTTTGTGTTATTCGCTCTTGAGGAGATTCATGTTCCAATTATAAGATTCTCATCAGGCATATTGGGCTAAATCTCATTATTTTTGTGTTTTCTATCTGTAGTTCAGAGATTTCCCATTCTTAATGAATCACCCTGTTCATTATGTACTTATAGCAAGAAATAGAGTAGGTACTAGTTACAGGAAATAAAGGTGTCGGGTCCATCAATAAATCCATTTCCATTCCTGTGATCGATCCAGCAAACGAGGAGGGATATAACAGGTCATCGAGGGTGGTACGAAAAGTTGACAAGACACATCCCTCGTCGCAGGATTTCCATTGTATCAGTTCAGTGTAGAACCACTGGTTATCTACAGGATGATCATAGGGAAACATACATAAAAATTGTTACGAAATATTTCGGAGGTTATAAAAACTATACACCTTTACAACTTGTTATTATTGAATTTATTTATTAAATTCAGCTAGAGCAGCGTGAGTATATTTTTTTTGGCCAATTATAGAAGTAGCAGAATCAAGATGAAATAAGTTTAATTGTCTCGTGTGATGACCATGAATTTCTGAGTTTCTTATCAAAATAAAATTGGATTTCAGATTATTGTTTATTATATTATATGAAACTTTAAGAGAATCTATTTTATATAATTCATCCAATGAAAATTTTTTTGTTATCGCATACAGATCATTTGTTGGAATATCAAATGAGAGGCGATACAATACTTTCAGTGCTTTCTTATAAAGTGCAGATATTTTACTGAAATAATTTTTTGAACAAGATCCCCAAACGTTTATCATATAGGTAATACGACTGAGTATATGGAACACAGTAAAACAGCAAATTCCTTAGGCGAAAATTCTGCGAATGGCCACACTCATAGGCGTTTTATTCTAAAGTAGAAAAGGTATAGTTTTTGGACATTTTTGTACCCATCACCTATACAGGGTGTTTCATAATTGAATGTCAATATTTGGGGAGGCGATACTTGGGCGCATTCTAAGAAGAAAGTTTCATATGAATCACTAAAATTTTTTCAATCAGATGCACGGTTTTCGCTCAAAAAAATTAAAAGCTTTTCACTACATACGACAATATCACACTGCAGAGAAATAGATTCCATTTTTCAGATCAAATTTCAGAAATACAATTCATAGTTTATGAACTTCGTATTCGTATTTGGTATTTTGGAATTATAACTTCTCATCGAGTAGGCTATATCAATTTTTGAGAACTTAACCACCCTGTATTTGAAAAGTTAGGACGTTTAGGTCATACTTTCTTCTTAGAATGGGTACAAGAATCGCCTCCTCGAATATTGACATTAAATTATGAAACACCCTGTATAATTTTAGAAAGTACATATTTTTGTTGGTTCAGCTGCAATAATTTTTCATAATATTCAAGAACTTAAGAGTCCATCACCGCACTGGCATTTATACGTATAACACGGTCACGCAAATTCGAAATTTCTCGAAAACGGTTGAACATATCGATTTGAAACAAAAACAGGCCATTAGATCACACCTGAATCTATGTACGTCCTGTAATGGAATTTTGAATTTCCTC